TGGGTTGCCATTTCCTACTTCAGTGGATCTTCCCAACCCAGGGATCAAACCTGGTCTCATATCTTCTGCATTATCAGCTGGATTCTTTACCGCTGCACTATGGGGGAAGCCCACTAGAGGCAACTACTATTACCGGATTTTGGGGTGGCCTTCGATAGATGCATCACATGTAAACATAGGCATATATTTACACATATGAATATGTAAGTTTCTATAAACTTCATGCACACTGTTCTCCACTTGGCTTTTTTCCTCTTAATATACTTTGGAGCTCTTTCCATGTGTCAGTGTATTTATATTTATCTTATTTTTTAAAAAATTCACATTATGTATTTCATTTTATTAATGCTCTATATGTACCAATGATGGACATTTGTTTTACTCCCTATATTTTGCTACTACAAAAAATATTGCAATAAATATCCATATATGCATGTCTCTAGGTATATATTTATAGCTACTATTGTAATTGTTTATAAATATGTACTCATATGTAAGATAAATTATTTTAAAATGGAACTTTGGGGTCAAAGGCTATGTGAATTTAAAATTTTGATAAATGTCAAGTTGCCTTCTTTGTATGTCAGACCAATTTTCAGGTTCACCAACAACAGTGCAGGCACTTATTTCTCTAATTCAGACTATTCTCAAACTATCTGATATTTGTGAATTTGATGAGTGGAAAAATATCTTATTATTGATCAAATTTACATTTCTTTAACTGTAAGCAGAGGAACATCTATTCATAAGTTTTTTGGGTTTAATTTTTTTTTTTTTTTTTGCTGCACAAAGTGGCATATGGGATCTTAGTTCCCTAATCAGGGATCAAACCCTCACCCCCTGCAGTGGAAACAGTCTTAACCACTGACCACAAGGGAAGGCCCTATTCATAAATTTTAAAGTTACTTCTACTTTTAAAATGCAAACATGCCTGGCATTAGATTCCCAGCTATTCAGAGAGAAAGCATTAAGCTTTTCCCTGACAGAGAAGAAGGGATGACCCAAGACACCCAAGTCCTAGAGCAGCAGGGCTGAGGAGAAAGGAGAGTAATTCTTGGCCTGAGGCACCTTACTGTCTGTTGCCCAAGGGACCCTGATGGGCCAGAGTACCTGTCCTATCTGTTTCAAGAATCCCAGGAACAAACCTGCAGAAGTCAGCTGCTGCCGTTAGCTTGCAGAAACTGAAGACATGTTCTCTCAGCAAACCAGATGTTAGGTCTCTGCCAGGCACCTAACAAAGATAAATTTATCTCTGTTGAGATAAATACTAAAGATCTTATGTTGACTAATTCCTTACTTCCTAAAGGATTTGGGGCAATCACATTGAGAGCAAGTAAGTTCAGTTCAATTCAGTTGCTCCGTCATGTCCAACTCTTTGTGACCCCATGGACTGCAGCACATGAGGCTTCCCTGTCCATCACCAACTCCCGGAGCTTGCTCAAACTCATGTCCATCGAGTTGGTGATGTCATCCAACTATCTCATCCTCTGTCATCCCCTTCTCCTCCTGCCTTCAATTTTTCCCAGCATAGGGTCTTTTCTAATGATTCAGTTCTTCTCATCAGGTGGCCAAAGTATTGGAGCTTCAGCATCAGTCCTTCCAATGAACACCCAGGACTGATCTCATTTACAATGGACTGGTTGGATCTCCTTGCAGTCCAAGGGACTCTCAAGTCTTCTCCAACAAAACAAAAGCATCAACTCTTCAGCACTCAGCTTTCTTTATGGTTCACCTATCATATCCATACATGACCACTGGAAAAACCATAGCCTTGACTAGATGGACATTTGTAGGCAAAGTAATGTCTCTGCTTTTTAATATACTGTCTAGGTGTGAGACTACTCTGTTCTACCACATCCCTATTTTTAATTTTAATCTGCTGTTACTTGAGAGCAAGTAAGGGTGCAGAGAAAAGGGTTACATCTATGCCCTCAAGCAGTATTGGACAGGTACTAGCAAGAGTGGGAGATGACATGGGGGAGAGTCAAGGAACGGGAAGCCTTAGGGTAGCTGAAACTAGTAGGTCAGAAAAAAAGTTGAACTGAGAAAGGCCAACATCCATACACTCATCCACAGCTCAAGACAGGTCCTCATCTCCTGCTTTCTTGTTCCTCCCTTCCTCAGCCAAGCTTCCTGAGAGTCATCTGCTCCTACCAGAGCTGTGGCATGTAACCAGGTGAATTATGCATCTGGGTACCCAGCCCAGGGGACCTGATCACCATTAGCTTGGCACATATGTGTCTGTTCAACAACTGGAGTATCTTTTCCTGACTTGCATAAAGAGTACGTGCAGACCTCAGACCTGACACTATGTCTCCACACTCTTTTCTCTACCCAGCATGGTCTGCCTTCTTCCTCTAACACTCCACCGTAATTACCAGCAACTTCTCTTTTGTTAAATTTAATGTACTGATTCTGTCCTCATCTTATTTCATTTCTCCCTAGCTTTTCTTTATCAACCACTTCCCATCTTGGAATCTCCCTCTCTTGGCTTTCTGATAGTCTTATCTTGGCTTCCCCTCTTATCTCTCTGACCTCTCCCTGACTTTCTCAATTAAGTAGCTTATGGGCTTGCCATTTCTCTACTTGTTTACCTGAGGTGACTTCATTAAGCCCATGGCTCAATGCCATTTGCTTTTCATATATTATCTACTTTAATCCTCACAAAAATCCTATGATACAAGTGTTATTATCATTATCTCCACTTTGTAGAAGAAGAAATAGACTCATAAAGAAGTCAAATATTTTGCTCAATTCAGTTCAGTTCAGTTGCTCAGTTGTGTCTGACTCTTTGTGCATGCCAGGCTTCCCTGTCCGTCACCAACTCCTGGAGCTTGTTCAAACTCATGTCCATTGAGTCAGTGATGCCATCCAACCATCTCATCCTCTGTTGTCCCCTTCACCTCCCACTTTCAATTTTTTCCAGCATCAGGGTCTTTTCAAATAAGTCAGCTCTTCGTATCAGGTAGCCAAAGTATTGGAATTTCAGCTTCAACATCAGTCCTTCCAATGAATATTCAGGACTTCAGAACATTTCCTTTAGGATTGACTAGTTGGCTCTCCCTGCAGTCCAAGGGACTCTCAAGAGTCTTCTCCAAAAGCATCAATTCTTTGGCAATCAAATTTCTTTATAGTCCAACTCTCATCCATACATGACTACTAGAAAAACCATAGCTTTCACTAGACAGACCTTTGTCAGCAAAATAATGTCTCTGTTTTTTAATATACTGTCTGGGTTGGTCATAGCTTTTCTTCCAAGGAGCAAGTGTCTTTTAATTTCATGGCTGCAGTCACCATCTGCAGTGATTTTGGAGACCCCCAAAATAAAGTCTCTCATGGTTTCCATTGTTTCCCCATCTATCTGCCATGAAGTGATGGGATCGGGTGCCATGATCTTAGTTTTCTGAATGTTCAGTTTTAAGCTGACTTTTTCACTCTCTTCTTACACTTTCGTCAAGAGGCTTTTTAGTTCCCCTTTACTTTTTGCCTTAAGGGTGGTGTCGTCTGCATATCTGAGGTTATTGATATCTCTTCTGGCAATATTGATTCCAGCTTGTGCTTCATCTAGTCCAATATCTCACATGATATACTTTGCATATAAGCTAAATAAGCAGGGTGACAATATACAGCCTTGACGTACTCCTTTCCCGATTTGTGAGCCAGTCTGTTATTCCATGTCCAGTACTAACTGTTGCTTCTTGACCTGCATATAGATTTCTCAGGAGTCAGGTAAGGTGGTCTGATATTCCCAGCTCTTGAAAAATTTCCCACACTTTGTTGTGAGCCACACAGTCAAATGCTTTAGTGTAGTCAATAAAGCAGAAGTAGTTGTTTTTCTGGAATTTCTTGCTTTTTCAATGATCCAACAGATTTTGGCAAGTTGATCTCTGGTTTCTCTGCCTTTTCTAAATCCATCTTGAACATCTGGAAGTTTACAGTTCATGTACTATTGAAACCTGACTTGGAGAATTTTGAGCTTTACTTTGCTACCGTGTGAGATGAGTGCAATTGTGCGGTAGTTTGAACATTCTTTGGCATTGCCTTTCTTTGGGACTGAACTGAAAACTGACCTTTTCCAGTCCTGTGGCCATTGCCAAGTTTTCCAAATTTGCTGGCATATTGAGTGCAGCATTTTAACAGCAGCATCTTCTACGATTTGAAATAGCTCAACAGGAATTCTATCACCTCCACTAGCTTTGTTTGTAGTGATGCTTCCTAAGGTCCATTTGGCTTTGCATTCCAAGATGTCTGGCTCTAGGTGAGTGATCACACCATCATGGTCACCTGGGTCATGAAGGTCTTTTTTGTATAGTTCTTCTGTGTATTCTTGCCACCTCTTCTTATTATCTTCTCCTTCTGTTAGGTCCATACCATTTCTGTCCTTTATTGTGCCCATATTTGCATGAAATGTTCCCTTGGTCTCCCTAATTTTCTTTTTTTTTTTCCCCTAATTTTCTTGAAGAGATCACTAGTCTTTCCCATTCTGTTGTTTTCCTCTAATATTTTGCTCAAGATCATACAACTACTATGTGGCAGAGCTGGGATTTGAATTGAGGCAGTCTGGTTCATAAGTAGTGATCTTAGCTAGTACCATGTTTTATTTGATAAATGATGAGTATATTGATGAATAAACAAATTCCAAAGGTAAGAGTTAAATAAATAAAGGGGGTTGCAAGCCATGGATGACTGCCCAACACAATGCTTGAACATCTTATATACTCAATAAATATTGGATGACTGAAGGTTTGAAAGCAGACAATGAACTAAAATGGAGTAAGTAAGAGGTGCCATAAGTTACAAGAGGTGAAAGCCTCTGATGTGAAGTGCCTACCTGCCCCAGGTTTTAGTACTATAGATCATAAGAGGAATCCATGAATGGGCCCCATATGTAGAGCTCTTTGTTCTGCAGGGTCGGCTTGTCAGTAACATCTGGGCCTGGGGACAGTGGGTGAGGGTAGATAGGACAGGCTGCAGCATCGTGCCAGGGCCTTAGGCTGAAGACCAAGTGGTATTTCTTTTTCCTTCCAGGAAGGGGTGCTCATCTGGACATTTTCGACCAAAAAGTATGTCTATGGTGAACTTTATCAGAATCGTGCTAGAGTATCAAACAACGCTGAGCAGTCAGATGCCTCCATCACCATTGACCAGTTGACCATGGATGACAATGGCACCTATGAGTGCTCCGTCTCACTGATGTCAGATCTGGGTGGCGTCTCCAAGTCACGTGTCCATCTCTTGGTCCTTGGTGAGTGTCTCCTCCTTCCTGGGATGATAGGAAGAGGCTGGGGAGGGTGGGGTATGAGGAGGAGGCACCCTGGTGGCAAGATAAAACTAGAATCAATGCCTGATGAAGAGCTAAGACTTCTCCCCTCATCTGGTCTGTCTGGAGGCTTGGGGATCTGCTTCTCCCCCTGGAACCAAATACGATTCTCTCTGGGCATACAGCTCCCCAGGACAGAGGTCAAGGCTGATCTGGAGTGGCCCCTGGGGGTCAGCCCAGGAGATTCTGTCCATGCACCATCCAGTGCTCTTTCCTTCACACTAGCTCCTCTCTTTTTCATGGAAAACTTACTAAAAAGAAGAAAAATGGAAATCCTAGATCCTACTGGAAAGATTTTCACTGCCTTGCTGTGAAGCTGAGGGCCAAATCTTGACTCTTACATGTCAGGCATCTTTTCCAGCTCTAAATTCAGCTAATCAGTAGAAGTCCTTCACACCACCATCTCCCCAGCCCTCGGCTCTAACACACCATTCATCAGGTTTTATTGTTTCTGAAATATGTCCCACAATAACATTCTTTTTACACAAATAGCTTGTTATTGAAGTTTATAATTTTGGAATGATTGGAATGATCACCTACTTTTAGAATCTTCATTGACCTGACTCAATGTCAAACAGTTGTTGGAAAAACTTTAGTGAGCCGGCCTGTGTCTACTCTAAGAAATGATCCCCACACTGGTGGGTAGCAATACTTTTTAGCCATACTTTAAACCAAAGAAATGGATCATGTTCCTCCATTTTACCTCCTTTACACTACATAGTGAGATTCTATTTTTAATTGCATAAGGTGGCTGCCTGGGTTTTTGAATCATGGTGGTGAGTTAAACAATAAAGCCCTGAATAAAGAATAACCATCTCCTCCTTGCACCCTCGTGCTAACAAGGTGGCCAAGGCCACCCTTGAATGATTCCTCTCCAAGTCTTTTCAAGACACACACACATTTCATTTTTCTTTCTTTCATTTTCTTAAAAAAAGATATCATATTATAAAGGTTTTTTGTAACTTTCTTTTTCCTTAATGTTTCATGTAAATTTCTCCAGATCATTACATACAAATATACCTATTAATATAATACATTCCCTTGCATGAATGTACTATGATTATTCCAGTGGCCCACACTGATGTACATTCTCAAGCTGTTTCCATTCTTCTGTACAAACAATATATATGTATGTATAATATGTGTATATATATGTATATATATATATATGTATATGCATATTCCTTTACTGTGTTATCTTTGTTTCTGTTGGATAAATTCTTAAAAGCAGGATTTCTATTTGCTCAACATCATTAGGCATCAAGGAAAAAAAATTTAAAAAGAAGGATTTCTAGGTCAAAGACTTTGCTTTCATTAAAAGTTACTGCATACTGGCAAATTACTTTCTCCCAAGCAATTTACTATTGCCATGATCATTATGTGATCATGCTTATTTTCCTATATTCTTACCAGAACTGAATGTTATCAATCTTCTTAATTTTTCTGTGAAAGTCGCTCAGTCATGTTCAACTCTTTGTGACCCCATGGAATTCCATGGAATTCTCCAGGCCGGAATACTGGAGTGGGTAGCCTTTCCCTTCTCCAGCGTTCTTCCCAACCCAGGGATTGAACCCAGGTCTCCCCCATTGCAGGCAGATTCTTTACCAGTTGAGCCACAAGGGAAGCTTAATTTTTTATAAATTTTGTTAATTGACTAGGTGAAAAAAAAAATCTGTTCGATTCGAGTTTCACATCCATGTTAAGTCACTTCAGTTGTGTCTGACTCTTTGCGACCCTGTGGACCATAGCCCGCCAGGCTCCTCTGTTCATGGGATTCTCCAGGCAAGAATACTGGAGTGGGCTGCCACACCCTGCTCCAGGGATCTGCCCAACCCAGGGACCCAACTCTCATCTGTTATGTCTTCTGCCTTGGCTGGCAGGTTCTTTACCACTAGCACCACCTAGGAAGCCTGGATAAGTTTCACATCTCTCCTTAACTTGGCGCTGACCCCCTAAGGTGAGGAGACCAGCAGTGGATTAAAGGCTGGGTCTGTTTCCTTATTCTCCTTAGTTCACTTCCTCCCACTCTCACCTCTGTGACTCTAAGGTCATGGCCAAGTGTTAAAGGGGAAAGCAAAGCCGTGATCACCTAGCCAGGCCCCTTACCGTCTTCTCTTACTATCCCGTGATCCCAATCAGAGCAGACATCCCACTACTGCCTCTTCTGTGGGGGGCGTGAGAGGGTTCCTCAGCACTGGCCCCACCAAGGGACCCACCTGACACAACTATTTTGCACACCTGCAGGCCAGATTTTCACATCTTTCACCCTTTCCCACCTTCCCGATTGTGGTAACTTGCTCTTACTCTTCACTGTCCACTCTGGGCTCCCCTTGACCCAGCCAACAGCTCTCTGGGGCCAAATCCTTTCAGTGTGACAAGAACACACCTCCATCCTTATTCTGCTAAAGCCTGCACCTGGAAAGGCAGATCCTTCTCACTGCTGCATGCTCTCCTCGCCTTGCCATTGCAGTCTGCTCCAGCCAGCTTCTCTGAGCAAGTGCTAGGACCTGAATGTGCCCCAGATGGTTCCTCAGATACCCAAGGACATCTATACAGCCCTTCCATCATCACGTTCCAGGAGTAGGCTGCAGGAACTTACTGACTCTTTACAAGCCTCAGTGACAAGTGAGAGGTGCCAGTTCCCGACAGTAGAAAACTGCTATCTCCACATGGTATTCTCGTGGTTCCTCCCTGGCTGGGAACGAGATGCGGGGAAATACCTCCTTACCTTCCACCAAGAGAAGGAGGAGAGATGCTCATGGTCCCTATTTCTGACAATCTTCTTTAAAGAAATCTCTCTGATGAATCTCTAGCCTTCTCTTAAATGGGAAGCAGGAGGGTAACTGATAATTGGAAAATTCACTACTGGGAAGGTCACTCCTCTCCTTAGCACTGAGGATACTAACCATTCAGAGCCTCAACCTGAAGATTTTAGTGGACATTCTGAGACACAGGAGAAGTACCCCCCCCCCCCATATCCTATTGGTGTCTTTTGCTCTGGATTTGGGGACTCTTGTCTGGTACAAGATCTCCCACACCACCTTTGGGGTTATAAAAATGAACTTAATGTTTTTTCCTTATGTCTGTAAGTCTTGTTTTTTTACCCTTAGATCTTTGTTTCATCAGGAATTTATTTTTGAACATAGGATACTAAGGGTCTTTGGTTTCTTCCAAATGGATAGCCAATTACATCAACATCATTTATTACACCAGAGAAACAATTATTTTCCCACTGGAATCCAGGTTTGTCACAAGTTAAACTGTTACATAAACACAGCTGTTTTTTACTCCTTATTTCATTTATTCTCCTTTTGATTATTCCTATGCCAATATCACATTGTTGTGATTATAGTATGTCTGTAGTCCGTGTGGAGATACAAACACACATGCACACATACATATTTAGTTATCAGTATTTGTGTGCATGGCTTTTAAAATCTGGCACTGTGTAATATCTTCTCTTATTAAACTTTTCCAAATCAGTTATACACATTTATTCTTTCATGTTAATATTAAAATCACATTGTTGTGTTTAAAAAAAGTTGGTTGGAATTATATTCAATTTACGTATTATTTTGCAATGGAATGACATTTTAATGATATCAGGAAGAAGATATGTCAGACTTTCTGACCTATATTGGCCAATCTATAATGACTGGATTCCAGGCTTTCCGTGGCCAAATAAAGACTAATGTGTTTACTTAGTTGTGTAAGAGGAGGGCAGGAAACCGTACCCATTCCATGTAACCAAATACCCAACCTCTGTGTCCTCCTGCTCTGCAAACCAAGGGGATCCTCTTAAATGGAGGGAAAACTACAAATTGCAATGATCTTTGCCTGGATCAGTCAGTTCAGTTGCTCAGTCATGTCCAACTCTTTGTGACCCCATGGACTGCAGCACACCAGGCTTCCCTGTCCATCACCAACTCCCAGAGCTTACTCAAACTCATGTCCATCAACTCAGTGATGCCATCCAGTCATCTAATCCTCTGTCATCCCCTTCTTCTCCTGCCTTCAATCTTTCCTAGCATCAGGGTCTTTTGAGATGAGTCAGTTCTTCGCATCAGATGACCAAAGTACTGGAGTTTTAGCTTCAGCATCAGTCCTTCCAATGAACAGCCAGGACTGATCTCCTTTAGGATGGACTGGTTGGGTCTCCTTGCAGTCCAAGGGACTCTCAAAAGTCTTCTCCAGCACCACAGTTCAAAAGCATCAGTTCTTCGGCGCTCAGCTTTCTTTATAGTCCAACTCTCACATCCATACATGACCACTGGAAAAACCATAGCCTTGACCAGATGGACCTTTGTTGGCAAAGTAATGTCTCTGCTTTTTAATATGCTGTCTAGGTTGGTCATAACTTTCCTTCCAAAGAGTAAGCATCCTTTAATTAGATAACACCAAGTTCACAATCATAACAGTTATCCTTTTTTGAGCATCTGTTGGCTATGTGCCAGGCATCTCAGTAAGTCCTCTATGGATATGATCTCATTTCCTCTTTGCAATACATCTGTGAAAGTGGGTATTAACATTTATATTTGATAGAAGGGAACACTGAGACCCAAGCGGTTAAATGACCACTAGAAAGTGTCCAAGCTTTGATGGAAACAGGGCTGCTCAATCCCTTCACCGTTCCCAACCATCAAGCCTTCCAGTTCCGGGTGATTCCCAAACTCTTCATCACTGACAACGTTTCAGCATTCCCTCTCTTTCACTCCATGGCAGATGTAAGCTTGCCAGTTATGTTTTATGGTCTCATTGCATTAACTTGTGTCTTGCCCTTCCTGCACCCATGCCAATGAAAGAAGTTTGGAGAGGCAGAGCAGTGCCAGCCATGGATGTGCCCACTGTCCACAGGACATGCCCGCCTTGGAAGCATCACTCGCTGAAAACTGAGGTTCTGTAACTGCTCTTCCACATCGAAGGTCGTAACCTAGGTCTGGGACACTGGAGCCCCACAGCCCTCTGAGTACATGGATATTTACTTCATGGGGAGCTTTCATGGGGAGCTTTGATGGTCTTAGAGCTGTAGGAACACCTCCCCTCATCTCCTGGACAAGGCTGACACCGTCACATTTTGTTACCTTACGGCATTTTTACAGCGGTGTTTCAGTTGACCCAGACGAGGTGGAGTGCCATGATGTGTCTTTCTACTGGCTCTGTGGAATCAAGAGTCTGCCCGTTTGTGAAGGGCTCCTCATGTCAAACTCGCTAACGCACCAGACTGTCAGAAAGAAGCCCTGCTGCCCTGTTCTTGTTCTCCCGCTACAAGGACCTTAGTCCTAACACAAATAAACAAATAGCTGTGTTTGGTGACCCCTTGCCTCTTAAAAAAAATACTAATTTAAAGAAAGGTGGAACAAAAAAGACAAACATTCACCTATATCACTGGGTTTTCTTTCTCCACGTTTTCTTCCAGGTCCTATCCACATACTTATTTCTGTACATAACTGAATTTGTAACCTAACCACAAGAACTTCTCTCTTTTCATTTCATTACCTGCTGTCTTAGCACTTGCTGTTCTTTAAGCTTCATGCCACTTCAGCAAGGGAATGCTGAGTCCTCTGTCCTAGAACTGGACACCGTTACCAATTTAAGCTATTATAATTAATGTTGCATTAAACCGTTTTGTGTTCACAGCGCTTAATTTCGTCTGCATTAGCTCCCGAGAGAGAGATTACCCAGCCAGGGAAGCGAGCATTTTCCTCGTTCCTCCGCTGCACTGCCCGCCCTCCCTCACCGCCTCCCCTTATCCTGGTTCACCCCCAGCTGAGTCCCTCGCTCTGCTCCCCTCGGTCCTTCTCTGGCGGATTCTGGCTCCTCTGGCTTCCGTATTTAACGGCTTTGGCTTTCTTCTGGCAGCAAGCTGGTTTCAGGCAGGGCAGCGGGCCGGGCCGACTCAAGTGTGAATGTCCGGATTTCCACCCCCTCCTCTCTTAGGACCAGCTGCACTTTAAGAGACGAATTAGTTAAACTCCAAGGCAAAGACTACAAATTTAACCTGAGATTATGAAACTCGGTGAAAAGACTGTTTTGCTTTAAAAAGAAAGATAATTGGTACATGTTAAGTAAACCCAGGGAAAAAGATTTTTACAAGTTTTATTTCCAAATGGCTTGCTGCTGGGCTGATTTTAGGCAGAAAAGCTTTTGAATTATATGGGGTTGTCCATTCAGGCTGCGTGACCTCACAGTAAACTGAGGCGAGCACGGAGCTTCCGGAAGGAGGCGAACCGTCTCGGTCACCATGGGGCAGTCACCTGGCCCGGGGACGGGGGCCTGGCGCCGCCGGGCTGGACCGGTCGTCTTCCCGGCCTCTGGCGCCCCCTGACGTCTGCAGTGGGAGTCGCAGGCCTTGGAGAGGCCCGGACCCGCTCCCTCCCATCACTTCGCCCTCTATAAATATTCAGGTATAATCTACAATCTATTTAGGAGCTGGGACGCGCCAGCTGAGAATCCAAGATCTACAAGAGTCCTACATCCCCCTTCAGCGGGTGGAAGGGCTGTTTGAACTAGATCCGTATGGTTCTAGGTCCTAGTTGTTCTTGATGGTGAGGGCCGCCGAGGTCAGTTTTGGGGAGGGGCTGGACGGAGTGAGGGCTGGGGATGCCCAGGATGAGCTGAGGTGGGAAAGCAGTTTGAGGGCTGTGGTTTAGGGCCTGGGGAAAGGACCCGAACACATTCCTCCATAAGGTGGGTCTCCTAGGAAGAGGTTAGTCCCTTGTTTGCCGTTATTTCTACTGCTGCCTCTAGAGTGGATTAGGGATTTGTTTTTAATAATTTTCCCTCAGCAAACCGTGGCATAAGAAAGCTAGCCACTGGATATGTTCAGCATATGCTGGCTACTAGTCATGCACCCTTAGCATGGCTCTGAGTCAATGAGAGACTTCGCAGATGGTATTGTGTCTGTGGCCAGTCTCTTTTGTGGAATAAAAGGTTAGGATCCTGTTAAAGGAGTACCTGGCAAGCAAGGGTGAGAGTTTTTACTGGTAGGGAGGGATGTTCCTGGACCTCTAGAGAGCTCAAGAGATAAAGCTTGGCTCAGGAACAGCTCTGACCAGAGCCAGTCTCCTCAGAAGTGATGCTCACTTTCTCTGTCCTGCAGATGCCTGCACGCTGGGCCAGCAGGGAGGGCAGCAGGCTGTTTGTGAGAGTAGCGGTGGGTAGCAGCCTTTTCTTCCCCAGGCTGCTTCAGTCTCTGGGGTCTGGGCATGGATACCTGAGTCCTGTTCTTGAACCTACGGCCTTTTAAGTTTAGGGTGGCAATGGGAAATGCCTTTGATTTGCCCCACGCTGCTCCATCCCTGACTGCCCCTCACCAAGACAACAGGAAATGAGGGGGCACACCCAGCAACCACCTGCCTCTGTCAGAGAGCAAATACCAGAGCAAATGTGAGGCTAGAGGGGAGACGTGCATCCTGGATAGCTTCTCCCAGCAGCTCTGGGCCAAGCAGAGACGGGAATTCACCCTCCACGCCCTGTGACTGTGCACCTGTGCAGTCTGAATTGTGGAAAGGGCAGCATTCTTTACTGGGACGAGCAAACCATCCAAGGGGGCATATAAAGAAGCAAGCAGAATGGACAGGCGTGCCCCTGGGGAAGTCAGCAGTAGTACTTTCCACTGAGTGTCCTCTTCTTCCCCCCAGAAGGGCACCACCTGAAGTCTTGCCTCAGGGCCTTTGCACAGGCTGCTCCCTCTGGCTGGAGTGCCACCCCGTCTTTCTCCAGCCCCTCCCACCACCTCCACTGCTGCCTTCATGACTGGGTCATGCCTTTGTCATGCCTTTCCTGTCCCAGCATTGTTGCGTCCTGCCTGGTCATTGCTTTTTTTTTTTTTGCCCCCACTGGATTCCTTAAACACAAAAACTCACACACGATGTCATCTCCATGCCCAGCAGAGTCAGGAATACAGTATTTTTGTAGAACAAACCACGGTACACAGTGGTATGGTAACTTACAGTGTTGAGTGAATGGCCCTGGCTTGAGGTCTTCAGGAGTTCTAAGAGGTCAGATTAGGCTGGTGCGTTGAGGGTGGCCTGTTGGTTTCTGCCACCTTCTTTCTGCGGCCTTCTTTTTTGTGTGTGTTTGTTGCTCCTTTCTGTCCCCTCCATCTCCTCAGCCCTCTTTCTCTGCCCTGCACATAATCCCACTGCCGCCAGGGGTCTCTTCCATCACCCAGTCACTTGTGGTCATTCCTTTTCATGAGCAAAGCAGAAGAGCGTACTGCTTAACTGAAGGGAACATTCCTAAGAAGTTAGCATTGAAGGGTTTCAGAGAGAGAGGTTTTCACTGAACCAAGGGTAGGCAAACTACAGCCAAATCCAGCCTGCAGACTGTTTTCTCAGGCGAGTGAGCTAAGCAAGGTTTTTACATTTCTCTGCCTGTGAACAAACACGGCAGTGCATGTGTGTCTGGGGCGAGGGAGCGGCTGTCACCAAGCCCCAAGTCATTCACGGCTTCCCTTCGGCTCTCCCCACACAGTGCCGCCCTCCAAGCCAGACTGCAGCATTCAGGGAGAGACCGTCATTGGGAACAACATCCAGCTGACCTGCCAGTCAAAGGAGGGCTCCCCAGCCCCTCAGTACAGCTGGAAGAGCTACAATGTCCTGCACCAAGAGCGTCAAGTCACAGCAGGTAAAAAGGTCTGCAAGGAAGGCCAGCCCCCCACATCGAGGTGCCGCTGGTGTGGCCAGAATTGCCAGACGAGACCCTGGGCTGACCAGTCAGATGCTCCTGAAGGCTGCCCCTGCCCCCTGCATTTTGCACTGGATTATCTAGGACCATCTCTTTAAGCAGCATTTTTTCTCATAATAGTGCCTACCTCATAGGTTATTGTGACAGATAATTACATCGTGCATGTTAACTTGTTTTCTTTATTCCCCATAACTGAATTCTCTCAAGCAAGCATGTATCAGTAACCAGTCACTGCACAGGCACTGGTGGGATTTTAGTTTTGATTATGATCATGTCCTAAAGTATACACTAAAGTCCTCTGGTTTAACTCTGTGGCTCCACTTAAGGGCAGAGAAGTTTCTATTTCCATCCCTTATCTAGGCAGATACATCTCGGACTGCCCTGGTTCCCACCCCCAAACTCAACCCCATTGTATGGTCCCCACTACACAACTGGGTCTGCTATGTGGTTCCCACATTCTCAGGAAAGGAAATGGTAGATTCTGCTGTGGTTGCCAGGAGACTGGTTTTGTACCAGGCAGTTTAGCATTTGACCTTTCGATCAGGAAACAAACTGGAAAGAAAAAAGGAGCTGTATAAACATCCCGCTGCCATTACCTTGGAGTCGACTAATGTGGGAAAACCCCATTGGAATCCCTGGGCCCTGTTTCCACCAGCTGCTTAGCCAGCTGCACCCACCACTCCTGAAGATCAAGAAAGCCAAGGTCTGGGAAGTCCCATTGGATTAACTTCTGGGAAGACTTTCTGTCCAGTGTGGGCGGAAAGGAAGTGGGTGGTGGAGCAGTGGGTATAGACAACAGGTCTGAGGAGATGAGATGGGAGAGCAAGTCCTTCCAAGTGAGGGCACAGATAGGGGCTCCTGCCAAATGAGGGGAGCTTGAGCACTCTACCATTAGTTTGCGGGGAAAAAAAAAAACTCCGGAAAAGTAAAAAAAAAAAAAGAATTAGTAGAACCCAATCTATTGAACATAAAATAGAAGATGCATTATGGATTTCAACAAGCTTCTGGATTTGTTTACATATTTCTGGCTGGCAAGTTTTTATTGAGTGTGTCCAGACTGGTTGGCAGCTCTCCTCTAGCTGTATGACCTCCTGTCTCCGGGCTGTGAACAGCCCAGGGACTCCATAGATGGTCACAGGCCAGCCACAGACACCGGTGACCTGGCCTTCCGGCAGAGTGTGTGGGGCAGAGGGTTGCGTGAGTGCATGCTCAGTCACTCAGCTGACTCCTGTGACCCCATGGACTACAGCCTGCCAGAGTCCTCTGTCCATGAGATTTTCCAGGCAAGAATACCAGAGTGGGTTGCCGTTTCCTTCTCCAGGGGATCTTCCGGATCCAGGGACCGAACCTCTGTCTCTTACCTCTCCTGCACTGGCAGGCAGATTCGTTACCACTGACCCACCTGTCAGTGAAGCTAGCAGAGGGTAACAAGATGGGAAATGCTGCCATCGTTTGTATCCAGTGGTGCTAGAATCCAGAGGGGTCAAAGAAGGTTTCTTCAAGGAGGAGGCACTGGAACAGGCAGGAGAGCATAGTGGTTAGGAGCATGCATGGGCTTGAATCCTGGCTTGTTAGCTGTGTGACCTTGGCAAGTTAGTCTCTCTTTGCCTTCATTTGTACATCTATAAAATGGGCATAAAATAGTATTTATTTCATAGGGATATTGTGAAGTCTTTTTTTTTTTGACTTCTCTTTGCAGCCTGTGAGATCTTAGTTCCTCAACCAGGGATCAAACCCATGCCCCTTGCATTGGGAGTGTGGAGTTAGGGAAGTCCTATTGTGAAGTTTAAATAAAAGTACATATAAAATACGGAGACCAAGTGCCTGGTAGAACGATTAGCTGTTGTCTGAGCCGGTTCCTTAAGAATGAGTAGGCTAAGCGTGGAGAAAGCTTAGGAACTGTCCCTGCAGGAAGGATGGGAGATACCACTGAAGAGAAGCTGAGATGAGAGATGATGTAGGGCCTGCATATCCGACTAGGGAGGCTGGCCTCTGCCCTGTAGGATGTGGGGACCCTACTCACAGCTCTCCTGTGAAAGATTCATCTGCTTGTCAGAAGCCAGAACTCAGTTTTTCAATGATCCAAAAACATGAGGGCAATAAAAGAGGTTAAATGGAGATTGCTTAGTTACTTTGGAAAAGATTTATTCTGCCTCTAGTTAGGAATTACTCGGAGTCAGAATTGGGATTTGACAGTGACCAAAAAAAGCCTCTGGATGGTGTGCGGGTTGGGCATTGTTCTTAAAGACTTTGGCTCTGTCTTGCCTCATGGAGCCCCAGAGAGTCTATCATGTCATCTTCTGTGGGTCAGTTGAAACCCGTTTCTGACTTTTAAAATATTTTGAAACAATCCACAGTGGGCAGTCTGGGGAGCAGAGTTCCTCAACCTTCTACATCTAAAGAGAGAATTCTCAACATTAGAGATTGTTTCCTTTAATTTAGATCAGCGGGAGTAAGCCAGCAGTAAAAGGACAGGGAATCTGGAATCAACAAATGAGGGTTTGAGTTCTGGCTTCTGTCACTCGTGGCCTCTCAGACGGTTAGTATCTTCATCTGCAAGATTGGGATGATCATTATACAGCCTTCCCCAAAGACTGTGGAGACGGTAAGAGACGATCACGTATGTGATACCTCTGCACATCCTTGTAAACCCTGTCAGTCAGCTGAGTTTCATGCACTGAAGGAGTAGGAATCTGCATAGTAAGGAAGGTGGGAGAAGTGATTCTAGGGGCGGGAGCACTTTAGGGGAGGATGTTCTGAAGGGTGGGCTTCCCAGGTGGTTCAGTGATAAAAGAACCCACCTGCCGATGCAAGAGACACAGGAGAGCCAGGTTTGATCCCTGGGTCAGGAAGATCCCCTGGAGGAGGAAGTTGCAGCCCACTCCAGCATTCTTGCCTGGAGAATCCCGTGGACAGAGGAGGCGGGCGGGTTGCAGCTCGTGGGGTCACACAGAGTCGGACATGACTGGCGCAGTGCGCGCACACACTCCCACGTGCTTTCTGAAGGCTGGGGATGGACGTTGCTCCCAGCAGCCAGGCTTGTTGAAGGCAGTTGAGCTTGCTGACAAACCATGGGATCAGGGAGGTGGTGGGGTAGGGGGCAGAAAAGTCAAACCTTGTCAATCTGACGTCAGTGTCTCTCACTGACCGGGGCTGCTCTGGAGGGAAACTGCTTCCGAGCTGCTGCAGAGGCGACGTGGAAACCCTGCGGTCCTGTGTGTTCCCCTTCTTGACCACGAGGTGGCGTTGCAGAAGAAACATTCATTTTGGCCAGACTTCAAGAACTATTGGGTCTTTTCCAGAGGAAAAGGGACTTGGGAGCTCCAAACCAGAATCAAAACAGGTCTTGTGACAATGTGTGTGCACTGGTTAATCCAAGAGCAGCTTCTAATGTCCATTGTTTGTTTTGAGAAGCTGGGGAAGGAAAGTGCTGACTCTGGCCTAGGCTGCCACATGTTCCCTACGCTAAACAAGGCCAGGAGCTCCAAGCTGGGCTCTGATAAATGGGAAGAGCCTGGAAAGAGCCTGGGGTTTTCCACCTTGATCTGTCTGAAATGTGCTGGGTACGTTTAACACGCAGATTGAGTTTCATGTTCTAAAATAGTGGGACTCTGTTAAGAGCCATACACCCCTGAAACATGTCCAGGTTCATAGAGTATTTCTCAGAATACTTTTGTGTTCCTTCAAGATGCCTCTTAAAAATATAAAAACCCAATTGGCTTAGAAAATGGGGCCATTAATACCATAACCCCTGTTAGAGGTGTCCAGTGCTATTAGCACGTCAGAAACTCTAACTCATGCTGAATTTGCTTTGGTCATAAACCCTTTCTTAGTATCATATGTTACAATCACATGTAAACAGTATTCCAGAAAAATTGCCAAGGTATGAAATTCTAGGATAGAAGGAATAGCATGTTATAGCAAATGAGTAACCAGAGACTATCATGCTGAGTTTCAGGGGATGAAGCTGGAGAAAGTATATATGAAAGGATTGGAAGAAAATAATCTGAAATCAAAGTGCTATTATTTCCAGCTGATGAGATTATGAACGATTTTTATTTTGTTCTCTGCTCTTCATAGAGGCCTCCTCTGACCCATCAGATGAGATTAAGATCTGATAGGGCTCCCATTATGAACTCTAATCACTATGTAATCACCATTGCCTTATGTCTGTTTTCCCTTATATACAGCAAAGGATAGGGACCCTTTTCATCTTGTTTTGAACTGATGTGATGAGCATAGCAAGATTTTCTAGATTAGACTAAACTGAAGTAATAATTTTATGTCATAAATTATTTTTATTTTTTTTTCAGTTTTAAATTTTATCTGCTAACATTTTCACAAATAAAACATATTAAATCAAAAAAATCATCTCCCCTTCATAGAATAAGTTATTTTTGACCATACCTTAAGGAGACCCAAGTGAGACTACACTTAAAATTTATAAGCATGAGCTTGAGTGCCTTTGTCCAGTCCTCCTCCGTGTTCAAGTGGGTTCTGATGGGATAGAATCCACTGCTGCTTCCAGGGTGTTCCATCAGGCCTTTCTTCACATGAATCTTGTAGGGCAAACAGAGACCCGACTCATCCTTCTCAGCTGCTTCCTTGAACTGCTGCATGCAGTCCAGGAAAGCCATCATAGCCTGATCAAATTTGTTGTGTAAGAAAACATTCTGCTTCCCACCAGAATACAGCGGCAACTCGGCACAGTCATCTGTTAAAGATCTCAGATAGGAGTGGTTTCCGCAGGGGATGAGTCGGTACCTCTGAAACTCCAGTCCAATGGTATTGGCCAGGGAAAGGAGCAGCAAGGCCGTCTGTCCCCAGGCCGCACTGATCTCACTCCAGCACACAGGGACAGTGGGGATGCGGCCCAATCTGAAGTTATTGATGATGGTTAAGGGGCCGTCATGCCAGATCTCAAAGGTGGCATTAAAGAC